GTTTCCCAAACAAAAGTTTACAGGGTTTGATGCCCATGATAAAATATTTCATGGGTGGATTCACACTTTAACCCTAATTTTTATTTTTACATTAAAAATAGATAAATTTTATTCTATCATTTTATTTTTTAAAAACCCTTTTATTGTGTATTTTATAACAATTTACATGTTGCTTAGCAACATCCATATCAGCCGTAGTTAGTAGACCATAAGCACAGAAGGACTGATGTTGAGAAAGGTGAAGAAAACCACATGGACCTAAATAAAATTTTTGAAGAAAGTATAAATAAGGATTGACACCTTTAACCCTAATTTTTGCTTGCAACATTCAATTACGTGCACATGCATCATTAGGGCTGGTAAAACGGGCCAACCCGTGGGTTGTGGATTGGCCCGTGATAGACTGCGGGTTATTTGGGTTGGGCTCAAAAGGCCTACTTTCTGGCGAGTTGGTATTCTGCCAACCCTAACCCGCCAAGGTGGGTTGGTAGGTCAACCTGCCAACCCTCCAGGATTTTTTTTTTCTTAAATTTTTTCTCATAAATAATCAAAAATTAAAAAAAAATCTAAAATGATTTAAAGTATTCCAAGCATTCAAACAAATTACAATACATTAAAACACAAAATATACAATTGTCCAAAGTTCAAACTCCAAACATGATAAAACACAAGTTCAAACATAAATTTTTCCTACCTTTCTAGCCCACCTCTTGATATTTTAATATATATAAAAAAAATTAAAAAAATTAGGCAGGCTGGCAAGTTAAACCCACCAACCCACAGGCTGACCTGCTGCGGGCTTAAGTTGTGACGGTGCGGGCTCATATTTTTCAGGTGGTGGTAGGTTGGCCAAAAGCCAACCCTAACCCACCTTTTTTGGCGGGTTCAACCCGTAGATCCAACCCATATTACCGGCTCTATGTATCATAGGTGTTTCTACGTACTTGGGCCCCTCTCACCTGCGTCACTTGGGTTTACCATAATAATCATGCACAAAGACAGCAAAAAAAGAAGACTGAATTCAAAAAATTGATCTTTTGGGGGGAAAAAATGATAATTAGGTTCCTTCTTAATAAGCAATATTGGGTTTGAATCTTATAAAACAAAAAAAAAAGTTACTCCTCTAATCCTGAATATACGTAGAAACTAATAAAAATGTTTGTTTTGATCTTTAAATGTGAAATCCTAATTTATTTTATCTGTCAGATTTATAATTTATTTTTCAAATTATCTTAATTAGTATACTTAGTAAAAGACTCTTTATCATGTCCGGTTTTTCAATAGGCAAGACTAAAGGAGTAATTTAAAAAAATTACATATGTTTCTTATAAATAATTAATTTAAATAACTTCTTTAACACATGCAAAATAATTATTTAGGGTGTGTTTGGTATGAGAGATTTGGGAGGGATGGGAGGGAAGGGGAGGGATTTTAATCATTTTCTCTTGTTTGGTAACACATAAATTTTAGGAGGGGAGGGAAAAATTTTTTTCCTCAACCTTCTCTCCAAAATTGGGAGGATTTTGAGGAAAAGGGCAATATTTTACCATATTGTGACCATTATGTTCATATTTTGTCATGTTGTGACTATTTTGTTCATATTTTATTATATTGTGACCATTATACTCGTATCTTAAATAAAATAAGAGTAAAATTGTCCATATTAAAATATTTTTCCCTCCCCTCCCCTCTTTTTTATAAATCCAAACAAGATAATATTAAAATCTTTCAACTCTTTTTTCCTCCCCTTCCCTTCATTAAAATCCCTCCCCTCCCCTTCCTCTCATTGAGCTAAACATACCCTTGGGCTTTTGAGGGGAAGAGTATCTTAGTCAAATTATTGGTAATGGAGTTTGATAATATTTAAATCTAACTCACAGTCACCAAATATAAGATAATTGTACAAAAATTGGGGTGAGAAAAATATCAATAATTAAATTCATTGCAAAATTTGTTGCACATACCAAATAGCAAATAGAGTGGTGAGCGAACCGAGCCAGGAAGCTTAGGACAAATGAAAGGTCCAATAACAAAAGGAGGAATCACAGTGACAACATCTAAACCATTTTCTTTTCCAGATTCAAGCACAGCTTTCTCTGCCAATGTCTTAGAAATTGCATAAGACCATCCAAATGGTTTTGAAGTTCTGAGATAATCCACATCCCCCAGAAAATCTCGCCCATCACTATTTCATCATCATCTTCTTTAATGCCATTGTAAGAAACAGCAGAACCACCTGAAGTATAAACAAGTTTCTGGACAGTGTTTGAAGTGAGGCATGCCTTCATAATTCCCAGTGCTCCATTAATGGATCTTTTGGTCACTATCTCTTCATCTTCTTCCTTTTCCTCAAAATCCATTGGAGTTGCCACATGGAATACCCCAATACACCCTTTAATGGCTTCCTTGAAGCTTTCTGGTTCAGTTAAGTCTGCCTTCAGGAGTTGAAGTTTCTGACATGCACCTGGCAGGTTTGTGAGGAAGGTCATACCTTTCGTGTCTCCTCCAATGGAAAAGGAAATCATCAACCTGCATAAAGCTGATATTTGGTTCGTATCACTCAGACATAAAGATTTTGCACAAGTAGCCGGTCAATGATGGTTGGGTTGGATGAAAGGAACACGATTTCCCTCAAGTAAGATCGAAAGTTTGAATCTTGTTGATGAAAAAATGACCCCAACTCTTTTTTGGTTGGGGAAGGGGAGATTTGGATGAATTCGACTTAAAATTCTGCTTCCCCATCCCAGTTACATCTTCTCTATATTAAAAAAAATTTTCAACACCATTTGTTCATTTTCTTTAATTCCAGCTTATTAAAATGTCTCCTCCCCTCCATTTTTCTCCAACCATCTATACAACCCAGTTGGCCCAACAATGCTCAAATTTCAACCAATAGTAATGGATATCAGACACTTACATTGAAAAAAAGTAGACATAAGGTTTTGCATGAAGAACTACAAGACAAATCCCACACTAGAGTGATTTGATATGATTGAAATATAAGGACAGGAGTGAAATGTACCTGAGGAAGATGTAATAGTGGCATTAACAGAATAACAATCCTCAAGAAGTCTCTTGATAATCCAACAAGCAATAAAGCCAGTCCCACCAGTGACACATGTTCTTGCTTTTCCCTCTTCCATTCCAATTTCAAGACAAGACACAGACTGACAGAAATTCAGAGGAGAGATCTCTAATGGGGTGTGTGTGTATTAAATATCTGCAGCTCTATCCATTTCTGGTCCACATGGGGCTTTGCAATTCGCAGCGTTGTCTACTTACCCATCGTTTCAGTTTCAGAAGCTATGTCTTTAATGTTGAGAACTTCACTTACAGGTAACTTACATACTTTAAATCCTGAACAAAACAGAACTTTATTTGGTTTTCTTTCCACTGTCCATCTTATATTCTTGTATATTTTTAGTATTACGTTTAGGAGTTAAGTAAAAGACGAAAAAATGACCCTCTTAAAATTGTGCCCCTGTTTAGCCAACCAAATTAGCACTTTCATTAGCCAACATCTAAGCATAACCAATATTAATATTCCAGTCATGTGCCAGCTCACCGATATAATTATCAATAATATAAACATGTCAAAGAATTAACACAAATGCAACCCAACGCCATTTATATCCATATCTAATTATACTACTACTTTTGGTCCTAGATATAAGATCTAATTCGTAGTACAAATCTTATATTCCTTCTCGTTCTATTTATAAGCTTCAAATTTGAAGAGAGTGTAGTACATTTTATAAGGTTTACTTTGGGGTTTGTCTAAAGATTTAATGCTTCTTCTTTTTTTTTTTATCAATTTTGTCCTTAATTATTTATTTTATCTTCTTTGTCATACCCTCTTGTCAAATTTTCCCATATATTCTATTTCATTCTTTTTCTTATTTATTATAAAAGCATATTTAGAACCAAAACTATATTTCTAATGTATTTATTGCTTTAAACCAATTTGAACTACTTGTTTGTTATCTATGAAGTTATTTGAAGCTTATAATAATGACTGAAGAGAGTATTTAGAACTAGAGGTAGTGCCCATGCATAAGCTATTGACTTCTTATAAAAATTAACTCGGTTAGTCCTAAATATGAGAGCCAGTTGAGAGATTTGTTTGGATTCCATATATAAGATTTTACTCTGCTCTGTCTCATAAATTTATAATTTATTTTTAAACAATTTTATTGATTGCATATACTAAAGAAGATTTTTATCAATAAGGGCAGTTTCTACTGCAAATGTTTGAAGGAAATATTTTAAGGAAACTAACATATGCTTAATATAAGTAATTCACATAACTAATTTTTTTTAATATATATAGATTAATTATCTAACTTTTATATTTAGGACTAAAAGAATTATATTACAAATTTTCCTATTCATTTTTCAGTTAGTGGGATGATAGTCAATCTAGTCTGGGTTATTGAGTTGTGCATTAAAAAAACACTCACTTTCACTCTTCACAACCAAGCGACATCAATCATGTGAGTATCAACAGTTTAATCATATATATATATATATATATATCAGTTTATCTCCTTCCTTCACATATCTATTTCTCTCCCAAATCTATTCACAAGTTCAAATAAAAATTAATTAAAGCAGTGATACATAACTTCTTTTGGGTTCAGAAAAATAGTAACAACCCCATATCGTTATTATCTTTATACTAATCATTTGTTGTTAAAAGCATATGTGCAAAGCAGGGACTAAACTTCTGATCAAAAAAAAAGCAGGGACTAAACCAAAAGATCTTTTTTCCTTGGTATATGAACTTACCAATATAAACTCAAAGCCTCCACTAACAAACTTCGCTTCTCACAAATAACACCTTCAGGGCAAGCCTATCACCAATACAAATCATGTCCCACATTCTGTTGAAACAACATTTCACACACACAAACACACATGTATGTATGGTCATAATGTTAAAAAGAGATATGCTGAACCAAAATTTGTAATGCAATTCAATTTACAATCGCACACATATATTTGCCAAAACGACAATTACATACTCATCACCATATTATTACATATATGTTTTGTGAATTACAAGTCTAGACAATAATAGGTCAAGTTTACATATTGGGATTTAACCAGTGACTTCTTACTTACAAGGAGCATTCGTATCATTAGACTTTAAGGCCATTTACATATTTTTGACAGGATAATTTGACATGACACTATTATATATAGCTACAAATAACCCTTTTCTTTGCAGCATTCAATTGCATCCAACAACATTTCCTCAAGTCCATACTTGTACTCAAATCCAGCATCTATGAGCTTCTTCGATGACAGATCTGGAAATTTCAAGCCAGTGCTTTGTTTCAAGGAACTACAATGAATATAAGAGAAGTCAGGTGATTTACTTGAATCAAATTTGCACATCAGCACAAAGAAGAAGAACAAGGACAAGAGAACTCTTACTCTGGGGTTGGTATCTTAAATTCTGGGTATTTAGCAGACACTATTTCAGTCACTTTTTCAATGGTTGCAAAACATTTAGAACAATTATATCTCCCTTTTGGATTGCGATGTTCAAGCAGGAATATGTGTGCTCTTGCCACGTCGTCAACATGAACCATAGGTGTTTGCTGATAACTATGTGGGTCATTCTTACCTGCATCAGAATTTAAATGACATACAGAACTAAAGTATCTGCATAAACCAAATAAGATTATAAATAAATGTTCAGAACCAAGCTGAAGCATTGTACCAAGTAAAAAATAGAGTGTTGAACCAACAGAGCCAGGTAGCTTAGGACAAATGAAGGGTCCAACAACAAAAGTGGGAATCAAAGTGACAACATCTAATCCATTTTGTTGTCCAAATTCAAGCACTGCTTTCTCTGTCAATGTCTTAGAAACTGCATAAGACCATCCAAATGTCTTCGAAGTTCTAAGTAAATTCACGTCACTCCATGAGCTCTCGTCCATCACTTCATCTTCTTTGCCAGTTGCAGAAACAGCAGCGGCACTGGAAGTGTAAACAACCCTCTTCACAGTCTTTGAAGTAAGGCAAGCTTTCAGAATACCTAATGCTCCATCAATGGATCTTTTGGTCACAATCTCTTCAGGTTCCTTTTCTTCAAAATCCACTGGAGTAGCCACATGGAACACTCCATTGCACCCTTCAATGGCTTCCTTGAAACTTTCTGGCTCGCTTAGGTCTGCGTTCAGAATTCGCAGCCTCTGAGATGCTCCTGGCAAATTTGTGAGGAAGCTCACATCTTTCTTGTGTTCTGCAATGGGAAACAAAATCATAAGATCTCATCTTCCGAAAGAGGAAAATGATACTAGCTAGCTGAATCTGTAAATATTGCTGAATTCAGATAAACAAAGAAAGATACAAAGGTTTTGCATATGAACAAGAGAAACGCAGCAGGGAAAAACAGTTATGGACAGTGAATTGACAGTTTATATGTTTGCTTCAAATAAATGGACAATCATTGAAACCTGGGTAGGATCTAACGGTAGTACTAACAGAGTAGCCATCTTCAAGAAGTCTCTTAATGATCCAAGAACCTATGAAGCCAGTACCACCAGTAACACATACTCTTCCTTTGCTGTCTTCCATTCGGAGAAGAGCACACTTTTGAGTCTTTTGTTAAAGAAACAGAGAATCAAGGGATATGGGGGGCACCAATATCTTTCCGCTTTTCTTTCTGGGACACATGTCCTTTTCTTGCTGGGACACATGTTTCTTTGTGATTGGCACTAATTTTTGATTTCACTGGATTAGCTTTCGTCAGTCTTGCGCGGTGGTGATGGAATCCTTGTTTCTCCTTTCATCTAGTTTACTGCTAGAACGTCCCAGCGCCCAGAAGTTAAATTTCTCATCTGTCTCGTCGCTTTGAGTAAAAAATCACCCCTAGTATCTAGATGAAAGTATTTGATGCAAAGAAAGGAATATTAAAAAATTTATATTTACTAATCAAATTTAACGATTTATTTTTATCAGTGAAACGTTCATATTTTATATCAAATTGTGTTATTTAACAAGTTAACTTATAAAAAAATTTATTAGTATCTCTCTGTATTTATTTTTTTACTCAAAATTTATGAGTAATTTTTCCTTGTTTTGAAAAGAGTATTCCTCTAATTTTATTTATAGAGTGATTGCAAAATGTTTTATTAGAAACAAGAAAAATCTTAAATATTGTCAACGCTTTAACATTTGGTAAGTTTCATATAATAAATTTAATGAGGTGAAGGAGGAAAATACTATAGGACAAGAGGAATATTACTTCATTTTTCATGCATGTACCAAGAAAGCCAAAATTAGCCCCCCCAAATAAAAAATCAATCTTGAAAATCATGAACATGTAGAAAGGAAAAGTTAGGTATTCATTTCTTTTCATTTTCTTTGTTGATAAGAAAGCTACACTGTGATTTGTGATCATGATTTTGATGGAAAATGGAAAACTACTTCTAGAATTTTTTTTGTCAACAGATTACTTTCAGAAAATAGTTATGATGGAATATGGAAAACCATTCAAAAGGTCTGTTTAAATTTCGGCCCTCATTTTTTTGTTTAGCCCTATTTTTCGGCATTGGATTTCATTACACTTTCTCTTTACTTTCTATTCAACTCTTAGACCAAATTTTGAATGGATATAATTTATCCTGCGTACCCCAAATCCAGGAAGTTCATTATTACATGGACTTTTGTCACTATCATAATATATATCATCGTTAATATAAAAGTTAGTTGATTAATTCGAGAAAACTAAAAAAATTAGTTAAATTAATTATTTGTAACGAATCATTTTGCTGAGTTCCTTTGATATGGTTCTCTCAAGCACTGTAGTATATTTTACTTTGTTTTTTAAAAAATATTTTTGTTAATTATTTGTATTAGCTAAAATTATTATTTAATAACATTTTTAACATGTACAATTATTATAAGGATTACATTAAAATAAATAAATACATATAAAAGATAAAATAAATTGGAGTATTATATTTAAAACTAAATTAAATGTCAAACTAGCTCAGAGGTAGTATTTTCTTTTAATCATATTCTGTACCATTTCTTATCCAATAATCAACCTAATCATTAACCCAAATTTACATCAAAGACCATCGGCTAGTCACCTATATTTAGGAAGGGAATTGAATCTGGATGTTGAATCTTGAATCTTGATTTTGCAGTAAAATGAGGAATTACATTTTGTAGGATTAGAGGGAAGAAGAAGTTTAGACTAGTGATACCCAAAAAAAAAAAAAATTAGTCAATTTCTTCGTGATTTTTCTTCCATCTTAGCAGAGTTATCACTTATCATTGCCTCTCTTGTTTTCTTTGCGGGTGTCAAAAGATGAGGTTTTATAAAGGTTCATCTTTGATTTATGAGAGGATTAATATATAGGGGGTTAAAGTACATCTAGTAATCTAAAATATTTTTTTAGATATATTTAGTAATTTAAATTATTTTGTGATGTATTTCAGCATTCTGAAATATTTTTTTTAATATGCGTCTAATATCTTAAAGTATTTTTTTGTGCATTCAGTATCTTAGGATAAAAAAATATTTTGGGTGTTGAATGCTTATGAAGAATATTTCAGGATACTAGATGGCCATAAGATATTTTAAGGTGTTGGATACACCCGAAAAAAATATTTTGATACGCTTATATTAAAATATATTTTTTTATAAAAAATAGTATACGAATATATATTTTATTAAAATATATTATGATATAGATTAAAATACTGTAACCTCTTTTAAAATTTATCTTAAGTTTATGGACCTTTCCTTTATTTTCAAATCACAAACTTAAATCTAAACTTTAACTACGTTAAGAAATAAGAATATTTTAAGAGCAAAATTTATTTTAAAATAAATTTGATTTACTAAGTTACCCTTTATATTACATCCATAATTCTTGCCCAAATTATTTTAAATAATTTAATTTTTTTATTTTGATTGATTGATTTATTTAATGTTCTTATCATGGAACAGAAGTTTAAGTAATTTAGTTGACGTAAATAGAGAGAATTACAATGTGGTTCCAAATAAGAAAAATAATTGAAAAACAAGTCCTAAAGATTGTCATTTTCACTGTAAGACTTGTCATTACAGGTTGCTCAGGTTGTTATTGAGACTTTTTAGTGATTATTTCTCTTCTGTGAAACTTGAATGTAATTCTTTCATGTAAATATAACAAGCTTGATTGAAACTTTGATTAATTCTTCTAATAGACACATAAGTCACTAAATGTATTGATAAATTTTGTAGCACAAATGTGTTTAAAAATTTTAAATAATAAATCTAAATGGTCTATATATATAATATCTTAAGTGGGCTTCTAGATCATTTAAACAGTCAGATTCTACGCTTCCGAGGGCCGCTTAAAATATTTCAAATATTTAATTATTATTACTTCTAATCTTAATTATAAGATTTAATTGATTAATTTAAAAAGATTAAAAAAAATAAATTAAATTAGTTATTTGTAATAAATTTGTGTTGTCTTTTCTAAAATTTCCTTACTAATCAAGTGTGTTGGCTAAAACTACAACTATTAGAAAAACTATTTTGAAAAAAAATTACATAAATATAAAAAACAAAGTAGATTGAGATCTCATATTTAGGATCAAAATAAAAATTAAATGAGATTTTATATTAAGAACTGGAGGTAGTATTATCATTTTAAAATTAAATTTCACAGAATAGTTTGATTTATTTGGTTTTAGACAATAATTTGTCCAATTAAATTTTTAAAAAATAGATTAATTTGGACTTTAATAATGATTTGATTTATATTATATGTGTTGATATTTTTAAACTATATATTTGATAAGAAAATATTTTTATACTTATATAACTTGTGATTCTATAATTTGAATCAAAAATTTATGAGTTTAAATAACAATGCTTCTCAAACTAGATTAAAATAATAGCTAGACTGCAAAATTTAAAAGTAAAATTTTTATAAAGAAGAAAAATTTAATATTTTTGTTATGAAAGAAAAGTATACTTATGAAAAAAAGTAATTGATTATAGTGATAATGAAATTTCAAAAGATTACTGATATATTTGTTTATTGCATATTTACATTGCAGATGAAACTTTAAGATGTTGTTATCTTATTAATGAATATTTTAGATCTTATTGAATTATATTTGTGACTTAATTTTATTTATATTTATATATTTTATTACTAATTTCATTGGTTTATTTTCATTTTTTTTTATTAAAAAAGTGAGAAATGTGAAAAATAACATTTTTCCCCCATTTAAACGGGCCAAAAGCTCGCAAGCAGGCCCTAAACCTGTTAGCTTAAGAGTTGGGCTTAGCAAATTGGGATATTTTTAACTTGATTATAGTTACTTCCACAACTTGTGTACTTCTACGAGAAAGGGAGACTTATATATATAGATTTATGTGTTCAGTTGCTTTGGAACCTTTAAAGAACCCCATTGATAAGAGGATGAGATACGTGGATAACACAATTGGAGAGACCTTTGCCCCAATTATTGAACAGTAAGTAGTTTATATCTATTTTTATATATTTATATATATAATTTCCCATGAATTCACTGGTTTCATTTCTTTTTAATATTTCAGCAAATATTGATCACTGTGTATCACTTGCCCTGCAAACAATGTTATTTACTGGTTTGATTCATTGGGTCATCATCCAAGTGATGATATTAAATGTTCTTCAATACGTAAGTTTTTCTCATCTTATATATGATTTTCTTACTTCATTAAATTATTTTAATGTCTTGTCATTTTCTTTTGTCATATGTCTTTCAAGACATATTATATATGGGGTGAGAAGCACAACGGTAAAAATGACAAGATGACCCGACACAAATCATTGGTAAGTGTTTTAATTAAAGTTATTCAATTTCATCGATAATTACTCCATATGTACATATACTTATCTTTGTGATTCACTTTTAATTTACAGTGTCACCTGCAACCAGAAAGTTCAGAGTGTGAATACTAGATATTATCCATTTCATGTGTAAAATTATTGAGTCAGGATGTACTAAAGATTTTGAGATGGTAATAATTAGTTTGATTATAATTATTTGTTCTTTTTTTCATTTAATTTCTTGCTTTCTTTTAATTATCTTATCTTGATTAAATTAAATTTTTTTATTCAAAACTTACAGATTTTTGATGATCAAAGCTCTTATGCTAATGAAGACATTGATGCTATTCAAAATCGTTTGGCAGGACAATTTCTTTAAGAATATTTTTCTCAAAATGACGCATGAGATTGAAAGGCATAGTTTAAGGAGTTTAATTATTTTTTGCTTCACTAAGTTAATTGGGATGTTATTTTCAAAAGTTAGTGTTTAGGATGTCATTAGGATACCATTGGCATGGAAACTACATCTGCTGAATTGATGTTGCTGTTGTACTCTATTTTGGTTTAGTTCATTTGCAAGGTTCAAATGAAAACTGTAGTATACACAATTATGAATTTTATTTTTTTTAAAATTAATATAGTCGTCTGTTGAAATGGGAACAATGAGTATGACTCATTCATACTCGTCTATTGATAACAGATGAATATGTTTCTCCTATCTACATCTCTTTTGTCAACATCTCTCATGAAACAG